TAATTAAACTATTTTAAGAGATTGATCACTTAAACACACAAAATACTGAAAATAAATCGTTATTTCGGAAAACTATATGTTTAATAAAATTTTGCAGCTTAGCATATAATCATTTCACCATTCCGCAATATTATCAAAATTTTGGTGTCGATAGATGAACCAATGTATCATCACTCTATCGAAAAAGAGTTTCGAGATTCCGAAGTTCGATCATTAACAACGGAAAAACAAAATTATTTGTTTTTTTTTCTTCTGAATAAACAACAAAATTATTTGTTTTGGTCTCTAGTTCGAAGAGATTATTAGGAGGAATCTAAACTTTTTTTACAAAACTAAAATCCAAAACAATTTAAGTACTACTACTAGAAAAGAACATAAATACACATTGGCATAGCTGCAACATAAATGGACACTTGCTATTGCATTTTCCAATGTCTATTCTCTGACTAAATTTGACCTTGTTCTTCTCTTTCTCATTACTCACCTTCTCAATGAAAGATCCGAAAACAGAAGAGAGATAAAAAAAAAAAAAAAAAGACTCTAAATATAGTTCTAGCCTTTATAGCCGATCCCAAAAAAGCTTTATCCTCTGCATTTACTTCTCCTCCTACTCACCACATCAAAAAACACACACATACACATACTTATACGCGTATAGAAAGAGACATAGATAGTCCCCATGCACCGTTCTTGTAACCAATCGTCTTACTTCATCAAAAACCAAACAATTGTCTTAAATTCTCTATGTTTCCAACACTAGTCGTCTCACTATCACAAGAACTCGAAGAAGCTTCTTTCATTCACTACTACTCTCACAGATCTCTTGTTTCTTGAAGAACAACAACAACAACGACAACAAAAATGCAGCAAAACTCTGTTCTTCTTGCTCTGTTTCTCCTCTGTTTTTCAATCGGGTCGGGTTCGGGTCAACCGGGTCAAAGAGACGATCTTCAAACTCTTCTCGAACTGAAGAACTCATTTATTACAAACCCAAAAGAAGAAAACCTTCTTCGAGATTGGAATTCCGGTGATCCCAATTTCTGCAACTGGACCGGCGTCACATGCGGTGGTGGTCGTGAAATAATCGGTTTAAATCTCTCCGGTTTAGGTTTAACCGGGTCAATTTCACCTTCAATCGGCCGGTTTAATAACCTAATCCACATCGATTTGTCTTCGAACCGTCTCGTTGGTCCCATCCCAACGACTCTCTCTAACCTCTCTTCTTCGTTGGAATCGTTGCATCTCTTCTCTAACCAACTCAGTGGCGAGTTACCGAGTCAACTCGGCTCACTCGTGAATCTCAAGTCGTTAAAACTCGGAGACAACGAGTTCAACGGAACAATCCCGGAGACGTTTGGGAACCTCGTCAACCTCCAGATGCTAGCTTTGGCCTCGTGTAGACTCACCGGTCTTATACCGAATCAACTCGGTAGACTCGTTCAGATCCAGGCTTTGAATCTACAAGACAACGAGCTCGAAGGACCGATTCCGGCGGAGATCGGAAACTGCACCAGCCTCGTAATGTTTTCCGCGGCGGTGAATCGTCTCAACGGGTCCTTACCGGCGGAGCTGAGTCGACTTAAGAACCTCCAGACACTAAATTTGAAGGAAAACACTTTCTCCGGTGAGATACCGAGTCAACTCGGTGATTTGGTTAATCTCAATTACCTTAATTTGATTAATAATGAATTACAAGGTTTGATTCCAAAGAGATTAACAGAGTTAAAGAATCTTCAAATACTTGATTTGTCTTCGAATAATCTCACCGGAGAAATACACGAAGAGTTCTGGCGAATGAATCAGCTTGTTGCTTTGGTTTTAGCGAAAAATCGTCTCTCTGGTTCGTTACCAAAGACTGTATGTTCTAACAACACAAGCTTGAAGCAACTTGTTCTGTCTGAAACTCAGCTTTCCGGCGAAATTCCGGTAGAAATCAGCAAATGTCGGTTACTAGAAGAGCTTGATTTGTCGAACAATACGCTCACAGGTCGAATCCCGGATTCGTTGTTTCAGCTCGTTGAACTCACGAATCTTTATCTTAACAACAATACCTTGGAGGGTACGTTATCTTCATCAATAGCTAACCTCACGAATCTACAAGAGTTTACTCTGTATCACAATAACTTGGAAGGCAAGGTACCGAAGGAAATCGGATTTCTTGGTAAATTGGAGATTATGTATCTATATGAGAATCGGTTTTCGGGTGAAATGCCGGTTGAGATTGGGAATTGCACGAAATTGAAGGAGATTGATTGGTATGGGAATCGTTTGAGTGGAGAGATTCCTTCTTCAATAGGAAGATTGAAAGAGCTTACTCGTCTTCACTTGAGGGAGAACGAGCTTGTAGGTAATATTCCCGCCAGTTTGGGTAACTGTCATCGAATGACGGTTATGGATTTAGCGGATAACCAGCTCTCGGGTTCGATTCCTTCCTCGTTCGGGTTCTTAACGGCGTTAGAACTGTTTATGATATACAACAATTCTCTTCAAGGAAATCTTCCGCATTCGCTTATCAACCTGAAGAATCTCACAAGAATAAATTTTTCCAGCAACAAGTTCAATGGTACGATTAGTCCGTTGTGCGGCTCAAGCTCTTATCTCTCGTTTGATGTCACAGACAATGGATTTGAGGGAGACATTCCTCTTGAGCTAGGTAAGTGTCTGAATCTTGATCGTTTAAGGCTAGGGAAGAATCAATTCACAGGAAGAATCCCTTGGACATTTGGGAAAATCCGTGAGCTGTCTTTGTTGGATATCTCGAGGAATTCTCTCACGGGAATCATACCGGTAGAGCTCGGTTTGTGCAAGAAGCTGACACACATTGATCTCAACGATAACTTTCTTTCAGGTGTTATACCTCCATGGCTTGGAAATCTTCCATTGTTGGGAGAGCTCAAGCTTTTTTCTAATCAGTTTGTTGGGTCCCTCCCTACTGAAATTTTCAACTTAACCAGTCTTCTTACGCTATCTCTAGATGGCAATTCACTTAACGGCTCGATCCCGCAAGAGATTGGAAACTTGGAAGCTCTCAATGCACTTAACCTCGAAAAGAATCAGCTTTCAGGTCCTCTTCCTTCATCAATAGGCAAGCTGAGCAAACTTTTCGAGCTTCGGTTATCAAGAAACGCTTTAACCGGAGAGATCCCAGTTGAGATTGGACAGCTACAAGATCTTCAAAGTGCTTTAGATCTCAGCTACAACAACTTTACCGGACGTATACCATCTACGATTTCGACGTTACATAAGCTAGAATCTCTTGATCTGTCTCACAATCAGCTTGTTGGAGAAGTTCCTGGCCAAATCGGTGACATGAAAAGCTTGGGATATCTCAATCTCTCTTACAACAACCTCGAAGGCAAACTAAAGAAACAGTTCTCTAGATGGCAAGCTGATGCATTTGTAGGCAATGCAGGTCTTTGTGGAAGCCCTCTTAGTCACTGCAACAGAGCTGGATCAAACAAGCAACGAAGTCTTAGTCCCAAAACCGTGGTTATAATCTCTGCAATTTCATCATTAGCAGCAATTGCTTTGATGGTACTTGTTATCGTCCTTTTCTTCAAGAAAAATCATGATCTTTTCAAGAAAGTGCGAGGCGGAAACAGCGCATTCTCATCGAACTCTTCTTCTTCACAAGCTCCTCTCTTTAGAAATGGAGGTGCAAAGTCAGATATAAAGTGGGATGACATTATGGAAGCTACACATTATCTTAACGACGAGTTCATCATTGGATCAGGAGGGTCAGGAAAAGTTTACAAAGCGGATTTGAGGAATGGTGAGACGATTGCTGTGAAGAAGATTCTTTGGAAAGATGATTTGATGTCAAACAAGAGCTTTAACAGAGAGGTTAAGACACTTGGAACAATCAGACATAGACATTTGGTTAAGCTAATGGGTTATTGCAGCAGCAAAGCGGAAGGCTTGAATCTGTTGATTTACGAGTATATGGCGAATGGAAGCGTTTGGGATTGGATTCACGCAAACGAGAAGACGAAGAAGAAGGAGATTCTTGATTGGGAAACAAGATTGAAAATAGCAGTTGGGTTGGCTCAAGGAGTGGAGTATCTTCATCATGACTGTGTTCCTCCGATTGTTCATCGCGATATTAAGTCGAGTAATGTGCTTCTTGATTCCAACATGGAAGCACATTTAGGAGATTTCGGACTCGCCAAGATCTTAACCGGGAATTATGACACCAACACAGAATCAAACACTATGTTTGCAGGCTCTTATGGTTACATCGCGCCAGGTACATGTCTTTCTCGGGTTTCTTAACTTCGATTCCACTGTTGAACCTAACGCTTTTGAAACCATTCTTTTTTTCACAGAGTATGCTTACTCGTTGAAGGCGACTGAGAAGAGCGATGTTTACAGTATGGGGATAGTCTTGATGGAGATAGTGACTGGTAAAATGCCAACCGAAACAATGTTTGATGAAGAGACGGATATGGTTAGATGGGTAGAGACGGTTCTTGATACGCCTCCGGGTTCTGAAGCAAGAGAGAAGCTGATTGATTCAGATCTTAAACCGCTTTTATCCCGCGAAGAAGATGCAGCTTACCAGGTTCTTGAAATAGCAATTCAGTGCACTAAAACTTATCCTCAAGAGAGACCATCTTCAAGACAAGCTAGTGACTACCTTCTTAATGTCTTCAACAATAGAGCTGCCAGTTACAGGGAAGTGCAAACTGATACCGATAAATAAAAGCTGAGTAAACTCAGACATATTTCTTCTTTTGAAAACTCTGTTTTGGTTGAGAGTAGATTGATGCATTATTTGCGTAGTAAACATATTTGTATTGCTTTCTTATGTTTCTTAAGACTTTTAACATATTCTTCAATTTTCTAATCTTGCTAAAGAAGAAAAAAATTACTATTGCTTAATTTAGAGATAAGTACTATTCGTTCATAATCATGTACCCAGTCTTTAGTACTTAGATAGTGTACTATATTTTAACATAGAAGATTTCGTTATAAAATATACTAACTTGTTATAAAATCCAAAAAAAAACCATAAATCTAACTTTCTTAAGTATACACACAATTATCCTTATCCCTTAAATAATATATTGAGTAAGAGCAAGTCCTAAGACTCAGCTTCTTCTCTAGATATTATTCTTTTCATTCTCTCCTTGCCTCTCTACTAGTCCTCTGTTTTCTTTTTCTGTTTACAGTTTTCAGAAACAGAGGACTAAAGAAGAGCAAAAGGAACATATTTTTTTTCATTCTGTTCTGTTCTTTTTTTCCCCTGTTCTAATCAATTTTGTTTGTTTTCGGCGTTCGTTGAAAGCGAAATCATTTCCTCGCAATCGCTTTCGATGATAGTTAATTTCTTTCATTGTTCTTGAGTGTAACAAAACAAAGCAATTTAAAAACAGAGCAGAGGATTTGTTTTGATCTTTATATTTTCAGCAAATGTCGTCTATAGAAATGGCTTCGAGGGATGGTAACAAGAAAGAAAAGAATCTCAAAGTTTTTGTTGGAGATCGTTTCAACAGCTGTCGTGTTATAATTGTCGATGATTCTGGAAGTAACAAAGATTGGAAAAGTAAAGAGGTTCTTGAATGTTTTTCAAGATCCTCTGTTTTTGAAACAGGGGAATCTCTGCAGATTCCTTCTTCTTATCCGCTAGAGACCAATTCCAATCCATTTTATAATCCGGGTCAACCTGAGACCTCGTCAAGAAATGGTGTTATCATGGGAGCTGTTCAGTTTTGGGAAGCTCGGTCGCAGCAGTCAAGCTCGAGTCTAAGTCAATCGCTAATTGATAGCAGGACAAGTTCTGGACTAAGTCTCTCCGACATTTCGAATTCGAGTTCATTTTCTGAATTTCTCAACGACCAGGCGAGAAAAAATAACGAAAGTAGTAGTGAAGAAATAGATTCAGACATGAGTAATGTTTCAAATTCTTATGAGAATGATGGAGAAGGAAGATGTTTTCTTGAGCTTGCTAGTTGTAGTACCCCTAGGATAAGAGGACGGCAAGCAAATGAAGATGTTTGTAAGATGATTTTGGGTAACCGAAAAAACGAGCTAGAATGGCTCGCTGGTCGCTACGCGGTTTCAAAGTTCTCGCCTCGCGGATGTGGGCGTCTTCAGGTACTTTTCTTTTATCTAAATTTGTAGTTTAATAGATTACACTTTAGACGATGTTACTTAAAATGACCACTTCCTTGTTATTTAGTATATGCTTAGAATCCGAAGTTTCGAAAGGTGCATTGGGACTCAAGAAAAATATCGGTCGAATATGAGGTTATTAATAGTTTTCTTCAATTATTTGAACTTCTAGAAGAGTTTTGAACCAAACTATATTGATTTTCATCAACTGAATCAAAATGCAGGGATAGATATAGGACAAATACTGAGAAGGGATCTGGGAGCAATCCGAATAGCGCAGTAGAAACTAAAAATTTGTCTAGACTAATATCTTTTCGGGTGGAGAATGTTTTGCAAGAAACAATGGATAAAAGTAACACAATGGAGAATCAGGCCGCCGCTTATAAGCCGGAAATTGCCAATAAACCCGTCTTTACTGAAGCGGCAAGCAATGAGAACGGTTCAAAGAAACCTGAAATTGAGAGGAAAGCTACAGAAGAAAAAGAAGGGTTGAGGAAAGCTATTGTGAAGGAAGGAGAAGAAACGAACAAAACCATGGAGATTGAGGAATATAGAAGCAACCCTCAAGAAGGGACATCAATGGTTTGTTTGGATAGAAGAAAGGAAGAAGAAACTGTAAGTCACGTATTAAGAGAGTGCGGTAAAGACGACATATTTTCACAAAACGATGAAGACACATCAAAAGCCGAGAAGCAAGAAGCTTCAGAACCGTTGTGCCTGATTCTTGAATCACCAATATTTCTAAATGATTTGGATGAAAATGAAACGGAATATGAAGAAAATGAAGATTACGATGGAGAGAGTGTGTATCATGATTGGATTAGCGATGTTTCGCGGCCACGAAGTTACTGGGAAGATCTCAAGAAAGAACGGGAGCTCGAGGTTATGAACAAGAATTCAGAGAAAGATGATATGTGGAACTTGATCAAGTGGTATGTTATGTGATCAATTCTTCTTTTTTAAGATTAGCTTTAGTAACTTTTCGATGTTTTAAGGATGTGATTGCTTGCGTAGGAGGACTGTTTCTAGCTTCCTCGAAGGTGGTTTTCGGGAAAAGATTGATAAAATCATGATCTCCTGTATGCAAAAGAGGTTAGAAGTAGAAAGCAATCTTGTAGAAGAAGAAGAAGAAGAAGATAACGAGGAGAGTTTGGTTGAGTGTTCAGCAAGGTGCCAAGAGAACCTAGAAGAAAATGAAACAGAGAAGGAAAATCTAGAACCAGTAACTGTAAGTGATGGTTTTAGCCACTATATCTTGATTGCGGCAACAATTTCTTTGAATACTAAGGATCATGCTTCTTAGGTCAATAGGGTTGCGTGTTGGTAAAGTAATAGATTTATGGTTAAAACAGGAAACACAGATGATATGTGATCTCAGAGAACAAATCAAACTGCTTCAAAGAGAAATGCTCGAACTAAAAATTTTGGTCAAATCTTGTGTCGATTTTCAAAAATCCATGCAATTCGAATCACTGTCTGGTGAGTAACATTGAAAACTATTCATGATCTAATTAAAATAATCATCTAGAATCCTCCATTGATGATGAAACATGAACTATGTCAAAATCAGTTTCAGATTCTCTGGAAAGAAATTGTTCTGTCTGCTTGGAGATGCCTATAGACTCGCTTCTATATAGGTACGTATGTCTGCTTGTAAAGCATAGAAAGCGATTGCTGTTAAAACGCAAACGCTGTAACGAAATTGCGGTTTTGTTTCGCAGGTGTGGACATATGTGAACTTGTCTGAATTGTGCTCATGAGCTTCAATGGAGTAGAAGGAAATGTCGGATCTGTATGGCTCTAATTGTTGATGTTGTGAGGGCATTTCTTGATTCTTAGGGCACAAGAAACAGACGGGAAAAACAAACTTTAACCTATTTCAGAAATTTAACTTAGTATATATAATCAGATTGTTTCACCTTACCAAGTAAAGTTTTTCTTTTATATTTTATAAACTTTTACATGTATATATAATAAGAATGTTTGTAATTTGTAAATATGGATTTCTCTAATTGTTGATTTTATGTAATCAGAATTTAATGTGTTGGCCAAAATCGTTGCAGCAAAAAACATGAAAATGATAGTATTCAAATAATTAAGGGACCCTTTGTAACGACTACAGATATAAATTGGCTAAAGACAAAGTTTTTAGATTGCCCAACATTGGTTGGACATATCTCTTGAACAGTTTCTTTCATCCTACTTAATATATAACTAGATAACAACCCGCACGATGTGCGGATGAAGTGATTCAAGTAAAATTATTATCCAGGATCCAAGATCCGTTTGTGTAAAACGAAATATGTTACAAATTTTTTTTTGTTTTATTCAAATTTGGGACTATTTCATATAAGAATATGTTTTACCCGTGAAATATTTGAACCTTGAATAAAACTTCAACGTTATAAAAAAGTATTGACGAAATGTTACCATTTATAGCAATATGTCTTTCCGTATGTTTTAAAGATTTCGAGATTTTGTAGTATAAAAAGAATTTTTTTTTTAATAAGTATAAGAAATCCAAAATTTAGCAAAGATGAGATATGATAGTTTCCAAGCTAAGATTTTGTAGTGTTCCAAATCTAAGATTCTTAGATTATGAATGGATTATTTACGAAATGGTTATAATGTAGCCAAATTTTGGTTTATATACAAATATGGTTATAATGTTTTTCTTCGAAAAGTTAGAACTCCTCCAAAAAATAGGATTTTAAGTTTTCGTAACATATATAGAAAGGAGATTATCTTATTTATTTAAGTAAAAAATTTATGAAAGATGTAAAGATTTTGTAGTTTTGAATTCGAGATTCTTGAACCAATGTATATATTTTATCATTTAAATATAAACATAAATATAAATATAAATAAAAAGATTGTTTACCCATCCGCTAAAGAAAATTTATATAAATATATATAAAGAATAATATAAATATAAAATATAGTAATATAAGATAAACAAAAAGTGTATGTTTTTAATTATTAATGAGATATATAGATGTATGAGACTAATGACAAATTCTGTAAATAGTCTAATAAATTTTGGGTAATTATCTAAATAGAAACCAAATCATTGTGAGAGCGACACATCAGCGTGACAATCTTGTTAATAACACATGATGATAAGGTTTTTAAAAAAAATTGTTTCTCTATTAATATATAGGGGATTATACACTTAAATTTCTTTTCTTTTTGTCCATTATAGATTATACGGATTTAGATTTGGAATACAATATATCGATAATACTAATACTATATATATGCTACATATATATCATAATCACTAATATATATATATATATATATATATATATATATATATATATATGACATAATCACATAACCATTTTATATAATCATATGAAACAAAACAAAAAACTCAAATAGAAAAACAATTTATAGTTTAAGAGTGAACAGAAAATAAAGTTATCAGTAGCCCATGTGAAAGTAGTAATAACTGATAAATTTATGTATATATGTGTAGTTATATGGCCAATTAGGTCAAGATTATTGGATCACTATCGACATCCTAATCTCATCATATCGAGTATGAATAGTTCGAAAGGTCATGATGTTTTTGGACATTTTTCCCAATTTATATTGATCTAAGCTTGAATATGCTAAAAAGAAACGTTAAAGGTTTCATGGGATCACTATGTATTATATTATCAACAATTAATTTAAATATTACTGACATATGCTAATTAATAATTGATAATTATCATTAAAAACGTGACATGAAACCAGACCAGCCACATGACATGAAAGTGCTCTTCACATCTTTCTACAATTTAGGTTATAGTTTACAATCATGCATGCATGTCTATAGTATCATTATCATTTATCAATATAGTGAAGAAAACACCATGATATTAAGTATAAGAGCAACAAAAGTTGTTTGGCCGAAGAAAGGAAAAGAGAAAACTATTTAAATTAAAGCTCGTTTTAAAGAAAATGAAAAGCTTTAAGAAAACTTTCATATTTTGTTAAATGTTAAATCAAGCCACAAAAATTTATTTTATGTGGTTTATTCATTAACACATGGGATGTCTCCTCCTCGTGATTCCATTTAAAGAATCACATCCCATCATTTTCATTTTCTTCTTTTTTTCTCTACCTTTTTGTAATATTATCTTCTTATAAAACATCAAACATTTTCATATCCTTTGATTAATGATTATTAAAGGAGATTTCGGTCTATTAAGAAGAAGAAGAAAGAGTTGACGTTTGAAGAGACTTTGGTTGTTCGGTTGTCATCCTACAAAGCTTTAGCTTACTTTTAAATGATTACCTTTTTCTAGACCACTTAAATTTCTTAATTAGCCAATTAATTTGTTTATTCATGTGATGTGTTTCGCTAATTTGTCCCAATAATTATTATGAGGATTTCGAATTAAAACATGAACTAATTTTTAGGTTTTGTCGAAGAACTGGATAATATCTGTTTGAGTATATAATTAGTGTTTTGTCTATTTGCTTAAATATTTTAGCGGAAGTGGCGATGTAACCAGTGGCGGAGCCAGGATTTTTATTTACAGAGGTCATATATATTTAATTATTTTAATTATTTATAATATTAAATAATATATTTAATGTATGAATTATCAAAAATATTTGAAATTTGTTATCTAAAACAAAACAAAAAAATCATCTATTTTTAAAATGCTTCACTTTCCAAATAAAAGATATTTTTAGTCGTATTAAGTACTTTTGTTCTCAATTTTTTTTTAATCAAAATGTATAGCATATTGTGTTTCTCTAGACTTTTTCAAAAATATATGTTACAGAAATTTTTTATTAAAAAATGTAGCAAAAAAAATTAAAATAGGACATGTCTAAAAGAGAAGAAAACAATAAAGATGTAAGAAGAGATTAGAAAGTTCTAGTTATTTTGAACAAAAAAAAAAGAAATAAAGATGAAAAACAAAATTAAAGTTCAATGAGAAATGAACATGCATGAGTCAAAAGCATGGTTGGATAAATATCTATGGGGGTCATTATAGAGATATTAGACAAAATCATCTAGTAAGCATTACAAAATTTAGCTAACAATTGAAAATTTAAATTTTTTATGGGGGTCAACTGACCCCCCTCCCATTGCACTAGCTCCGCCACTGGATGTAACCTCTGCAAAATTTGAAGTATGAAAATTTGATTTTACCTCTTTGAAAAATAATTAAGAAATGTATGTTTCAAAAAAAAAAATTAATAATTGCATGGGTCAGATCCTGTTATTAATTTTTTTTGATGTGTTTATCCTTAAAGCTTTTAATTATTAGTATATAAGTTTGAAGGACCATATATGTAGATAAAGGCTTAAATGTAAGCTTTAGTTAGCTAAAAGATGAGATTCCACACACAAAAAAAAGCTGGAAGATGGTCCATTGTAACACAGCTTGAATGTTGGGACCAATTTCATATTTATATTCGTATGCCAATCTTTTTCTTTCTCTCATTTATATGTATTACTATCATTTCTGTATTGTACTAGTTTCTTATTCTAGGTAAGTATTTGTCATAATTAAGTTCTTGTATCTTAATAATGACTATCGCAAAAATCCATTTTTCTTAAATGTTAATTTATGATATTCCCTCTGTTTCACCAAAAATATCATTATTTTTATATAAATTAAAATATATATAATTTTCATTAATATCATTTGAAAGAACAAGTTTCTTTTTTGATATTATGTTATATTAATAATTTAGAATTGAGGTTAAATTCTGTATTTAAAATCAAATTTTACATTAAAAACAAAAACGACATTTATTTTGAAACTTAAAACGACATTTGATTTGAAACGAATGGAGTTTTTCTTTAATAAGTTAATTTTTTTTTCGTCTTTTGATCTTTAATAAGTTAATAAAAATGATTATTTTACTTGAAACCATAGCTATGATATCGTCTAAACTTTAAAGTTATAGGGACGATTAGCTACATAATTTTATTGAAAATTTAATTTGTGACTCTTTTTCAAACATCTTCTTCTTTTTTTTTTTTTACGGCAATTCTCTTGAATTGACATAAATATACTGTTCATAATCACATGCAACTAGTATTTTACTTCTTAAATTAACAGAAATATACTGTTCATAATCACACGCAACTAGTAGTTTACTTGTCGATGAATATTGTTTGGTTAATTTCGAAAATCTATCCGAACAGAGGTGTAATAAATAGCAAAAAAATAAAAGATTTGATTGCGAAGCAAATTGTGTCAAGCTGGATCTTAAATGAAAGGTCTCTCTCAAAATTAAAATAACTCGGCACTTGCAATATTAACAGTAATGGAAAGTGAGAGAAGGACCCTTCTTTCTTCTCGCTGACAAATTGCTAGTATTTGCCAATAACTTAAAACGAAAAAAAAGAGGTTCCGAACATAATTGCATAATAACATAAGTCGTAATTTGAAAACTCGTATAACAAAAGTTTGTAAAATAAAATTATACTGATTAGATATATTTGCGTGTTACCAATCATAACTCATACACATTCACAAACCGAAACCATGAGTCAAAATAGCACATAATTAACAATTTCTATTGATAATCAATATTACATTGAAACAAATATTTCTCAAACTTTAAAACAAGAACATGTATGTAAAGTCATTAGATAATTAACTTTTAACTATCAATACTTTTATTTATCGGAAAAAAACTATCGATATATCAAATTTTTTTTTTTTTTTTTACATCTTTGGATCGACAAGGCCCGATCCATAGCCAATCCCTACTACGCGGGGTAACGCGATTAATGGAGTCGAACTCCGGTGGGGAATATAGAGTTAAATGGGCTTAACCACTTGACTAAATGCACATCCTCCGATATTTTAAAACTTAAGATGCGCATTTAGCATAAATTCTTCTGTAGAGAGATAAGATAATATCAAGCGATTAGATACAAAATGCTATGGAAATATATAATATCAGAAAAGGTAAGAAAGAAAAAAAGAATGTGGTGTCCTTGTCCTACAATGTGACCCAAGATAGCACTTCCCTAAGCCATAGGCTATTCTGGAATTGCATTACATGTCTCACCCCACCATGTTCCTAAAGAAACCCACTTCCTTGTCACTCCCAAACCCTAATTAATTAAAAACCCTAATTAATTAAAAACCCTAATTAAAACCCACAAACCTCATTAAACACAATACAAAACTCTTGTATCAAAAACCTTAACTAATTAGTGTGCATATATTAAATATGAGTTGCCAACTAGCAACTATTAAATTTGATATCTACCCCACAAAGACATCATCCTCTTTACCCACATATATAAAAGCCCTTTTAGAGATCTCAACTTTGTTTCATCTCATTTATCATCATCCTTCAAGAACACAAAGATAGACAGAAAAAAAATGTGTTCCTCAAAATTAAAGAACCTGACCCAAGAAAACATTTCCCAGATCAACGGTCGTCCGGTTCTTCAACCGAAATCGAACCAAGTTCCAACATTAGACCGACGTAACTCACTCAAGAAATCTCCTCCTAAGCCTTTGAATCCAATCGCATCATCAAAGATACCCTCACCAAGACTAATTTCTCTAAACTCTCCTCCTTTGTCTCCCAACTCAAAATCCTTAAGACAACCGCCCGGTTCTTGCAAGGAGCTACTTAGGTCTAGCTCTGTAAAATCAAAGCCAGTGAAATCACCAGAGAATAGTGATGGTGGCTACAAAGAAGTTATGTCTATGGTGATTGTTCAGAAGCAGCCTGGAAGTATAGCAGCTGCAAGAAGAGAAGAGGTTGCAATGAAACAAGAAGAGAGAAAGAAGAAAATTTCTCATTACGGTAGAATCAAATCCGTAAAATCGAACGAAAAGAACTTAAATGTTGAGCATGAGAAGAAAAAGAGGTGCAGTTTCATCACTATAAGTTCAGGTCTGTAAAAGTTACTTGTTCAGCAAGAAAACATATGTTCCTTTTCGATTACATACAAGTCAACTTTAAATAACTGAATCCAAAATCTTAATTTGTTTTCGCAGATCCAATATATGTCGCTTACCATGACAAAGAATGGGGAGTTCCAGTTCATGATGACAAGTAATTAAATGAAATTTTCATTTCTTGATAAATAAGACCAATTTTTATAAGAATTGAAACTAATTATGATTAATGTTCAAATCTTTTTTCAGGCTACTATTTGAGCTTCTGGTGTTAACCGGAGCTCAGGTCGGATCAGATTGGACTTCGGTTTTGAAGAGAAGAAACACTTTTAGGTAAGAAATCAAAGTAAAATGTTGCTACTTTTTAACTTTTTTGTGGTAATCCTTTTGGTCTAACTTTGTAACCTTTGGTTTCACAGAGAGGCTTTCTCTGGTTTCGAAGCAGAGTTGGTAGCAGACTTCAACGAGAAGAAGATACAATCAATAGTCAACGACTATGGCATTAACCTTAGCCAAGTCCTTGCAATCGTTGACAACTCTAAACAAATTCTCAAGGTATATACTATATTATATTATTAGTTTGGTTATCACAATATACATATATTTAAATTGCCAAATTTATCTTATAATTGTTGAAAGTAAAAATTATCTTGGATATGTTTTACAGGTGAAAAGAGATTTTGGGTCATTCAACAAATACATTTGGGGGTTTCTGAAACACAAACCGGTCACCACAAAATACACATCATGCCAAAAGATACCCGTTAAGACATCGAAATCGGAGACTATAAGCAAAGATATGGTTCGTCGTGGGTTTAGATTCGTTGGTCCGACGGTTATACATTCGTTAATGCAAGCCGCCGGTTTAACCAACGACCACTTGATCACATGTCCGAGGCATCTTGAGTGTACGGCCATGGCGGCTTTATAGGCAAAAAGATCATTGTTGTTGTTCACATTGGCTTTAGTTTATATGTAAATAAATAATATTTATGTGTTATTATTTTTAGTACTATATATTTTGTTTTTGTCAACATTGTAGTACTATATCCACCATGTGATATTTAGGTTTGAGGTCCTAACTTTAGGTATTGATATTTCTACAAAAGTTTTTGTGTGTGTGTGATTCTACTTTGAATTTAATATATATATGAGTGGTATTTATTTTAGTTTGTTTAATTTGTTTTTGAGGTTAATAGTTTGTGGGATATGGGGAATAATGTAAAGAAGAGATAGATCCCACAAAGCATGTGCTAAAGTTGGGAAGCAATGTCATGTGGTAGATGATTATCAAAGAAACTTTTTTACGTTTTTTTTTTAGCTGATAATAAATTTTATTAGCTTTTGAGTCGGAAAAAATATTGGGTCTGATTGGTAACATAAAGTTATACAAAATTTTTAATTGTAAGCGGGAACGACAACTTTTTACGGAATAATGCGAAACTGTGAAAAAATGGTATATGAAAACTGTACAAAAAAATTTAGAATAACATTTTTGGTAACGCTTTTATGATTGGTAACTATCAAAAAATAGTATATATATCATATACCACAGCTGTACATGGTTCCCAATCAAAATCATTATGAAAAGAAGCTTTGTTTGTTAGACCCCATCTGCTACAAAAAATGATGCAATTCTTATGGCATTTTGAAAAACTAGAGTCATGGGGGATAATAATGACACATAAGTACGTATTTCATCATTTATATAACTATATCCATAAAGCTAGGTTAAAATCAACATTAATCATTAGAGATCTAATCGATTACGGAGTTTTTATTTATCGTATATATAGAACACATGTTCACTTTGTGGTTTCTTTGTTTTCCTTGTGAAATTAATCATACTATATCCTCGATCTGTCCATTTTAAATCGTATACTTATAAGCTTAACTTCGTAATAATATTTTTAAACTACATTTTACGTTTTTCAGAATCATCTTGTACATAACATAGAAAAAATGGTTTTGTTGTGTATTTCTCCTATTTTTCTAGAAATAGACCACATGGTCCACATGAAATTTTACAAAGCAAATACAATATAGTGAGACTAAAGCCCATAATGGCTTTGAATGATATTATGAAGGGCCTCAAGGCCCATTATTTACATCAGTACACTTAGGCCCTGATCTTTTGTTTTTTCAATCACACAGGCCCTAATTAATCCTTGCGATGTTGAGCGTTTCGATTATTGGACAACCGACATAAAAATTGGGTTCTATTAAAAGTGTGCGATTGACCAAAAAAAAAAGTAGTCTAAATTTTATCTTATAGTATTAAAATGGTGAAAAACGAGTTATTTTTTCTTGTCAAATGTGCAAAATAGTGGAATGACTAAAACTATCCAAATAAACTTTAGATTTTCCAATTAACAGATTTTTATAAAGTGGCATAAGTGATAAAAAAAATCCAATATTAACTATTTATTTTTTAAACTGCTAATTCGATGACACAAATAAAAAAAAAGTCGCATCAAAACGAAAAGAAAATCATTAAAAGTAATAATATTTTGACATATGTTAGAAAATTAGACGGCAAAATAAACGGTAAAGTTAGAATTCTTCTGATAACCAAAACCGAAATAAACCGGACGGTTAAATAAAAACTCCGCGTAACAAAAAAGATAATGATGAGTCCTCGATATTCTGAAAACAGAAGCCTGCTTTTTTCGACCGTTTGCTATGCTTCTACGCGAAAAGTAAAAAACAAGAAGAAGCAATAATTCATAACGTTGAAGAGAATGATAATTTACATGGCAGGCCACAAAACTGACACGTGTCGTACACACGTTAGTAGTTGATGACGTGTTATATTATTTTGGCAGAGAGCGAAGTCCCATGCGTCGGTAAAGGAAACCAAAAAGCATTAGTCGTTTTAAAAGTCTTCTAATCGTCAGACTTTTTTCTATTTTAATTTTTGCTGTGTATTTTTTCTTGTGACTTCGAAACAGTAATCTGCAAAAAAACATGATTCAGTGTTACACGAAAAAAAAAATAGTCAAGAGTTATAAATTCTTACTAATTAAATTTGTTTATAAGAAAATTGCACAAAGGTTCGATGATAAATCATAAGGCTGAGTTGTAAATTGGAGAAATTAGAGGACTGATTTTGTAAATAACTTAAAATAAAAGGAAAGCAGTGGGAAGAGGAAATAAAACGACAAAATCTGCTATGAAAAAAGCTAAAACCTTTTTTATTCTCTCTCAATCCAACTCATTTTGGCTGCTAAATAAATTATACTTTAAATTCTCTTTATAAATACATAACACGCTGTTTAGCACATGTATAGTTTTCTTCAAAACATTTAAAAATTGAGTAATTACACTGCATACCCTAAGACTGGAAAATAATTAAGTCAAAGGAGAAGGGGTGGTTTCGTAAATAAATGGTGTTTTGGTTTAATGACGAAATGACCAAATTACCCCTACAATCTTCATCCTTCCTGTTCTTGAGATGGCCGGAGATGGAGAGATCTCTTGTTCGTTGTTTTATGGCCGTCGTGGTAACGCTTTATTCTCTCGGTCGTGGTTGCCTATTTCCGACGAACTTAGGTAAGCCTTTCGATTTTTGCATGCAAGAATTAGAATTCTCCGATTAATTTGTTTATTTATCAAATTTGAATTTGTCTGTCTTTTCAGGGGGATTTTGATTATTATCCATGGATTGAATGAACACAGGTGAAAAAAATCAATCCTTTTTTTTATTTTTCTTGTCTCTGTTTTTCGATGAATCCCTAAATGAATTTGTGAATTGTTATTAAATTGCAGTGGAAGATATTCTCAATTCGTTAAGCAGTTAAACTCGAGTAATTTGGGTGTATACGCAATGGACTGGATTGGTATGAAGACGAAATATTGTTCTTTTCATTATTCATATTGGATCGATTGCTGAAGCTTCGGGATGATGGCGAGACGAAGATCGGAGAAAGAGGAGTGGATGGTGGTCATGTGCCATTTTCTCTATTTTGGAGGGTATTTTCGTCCGAAAGTTTATGGTGTGCCAGTTTCTCTCTCTTGTTTTACAAAGAAAAAAACTTGTGTATGCCACACCTAATTATTTCTCAAATAATTAGCATGCAGCTAATTGACTCTTAAAAATTTGATTAAAGAGAATTATTTTTGAAGCTTTTCAATATTAATTGAAAAATGACAAGAAAAATGAATAAATAAAATCGGTTTCTAATAATGGCATATACAAAAAATGGAGAATTCTAACAGCAACAAAGAGTCTCTATTTATATTTTTCATATAATGAAAATAGTTTTCACATGAATCAAGTATTTTTTTTATATACAGTATATGTTATTAACCAATGTAATATAATTTTAAAATAGGAATTCATATGTATTTATAAATATATAAATGTTAATTTATGTAAAAAATAGAAATTTTGAACAACTGTACAATGATATTACAACCAAAACTATTTACCAAAACTGCTTTATGATTTGTGATTATACTAATTATAGGAACAAAAAGATTATTTTCTATTTAACGTATTCATAAAATTAAAAGATGATAAATTGAGCTCTTATTTCTTCTTCTTCTCTCTATCTCTCTCTATATCTCTTTCCTCTGTCGCTTCACTTTCTCTCTGCTTCGTAACGATTTGATTCATCTTCTTCAATCAGTGAAGAAGAAGAAGAACCTCGAAAAATGGCTAAAGAGAGAGACCAAAACACTAAAGACAACAAAAACCTCCTTATCTGTTTCTTATGGAACTTCTCCGCTGAGCTTAAACTCGCTTTAATGGCGTTACTCGTTCTCTGCACTTTAGCTTCTCTCCTCCCATTTTTACCTTCTTCTTCCTCCATCTCCGCCTCCGACCTCCGTTTCTGCATCTCACGTATCGCCGTTAACTCCACCTCCGTCAACTCCACCGCCGTCGAAAAGCCAGTCTTAGATAACGTCGTTATGACGGAGAAGCTGGTGCTGGATAACGCCGTTATGACTGAGAAACCTCCGTTAAGTGAAGAGACGGTGTTAAGTAACGGCGTTATTAAACGGACGTTTACTGGTTACGGCTGGGCAGCTTATAACTTCGTGTTAATGAACGCATACAGAGGCGGCGTTAACACATTCGCCGTTATCGGTTTATCATCTAAACCACTTCATGTCTACGCTCATCCAACTTACCGTTGTGAATGGATTCCACTAAACCAATCCGATAACCGGATTTTAACCGACGGAACCAAAATCTTAACCGATTGGGGATACGGTAGAGTTTACACAACCGTCGTCGTAAACTGTACTTTTCCGTCAACCACCGTAATAAACCCTAAAAACACCGGAGGTACTCTTCTCCTCCACGCAACCACCGGAGATTTAGATCGGAACATCACCGATTCAGTCCCAGTCCTCACCGAAACTCCAAACACCGTCGATTTCACCCTCTACGAATCCCATCGTCGCCGCGAAAAGTACGATTACCTCTATTGCGGATCGTCTCTCTACGGAAACTTATCTCCACAGAGAATCAGAGAATGGATCGCTTACCATGTTAGATTCTTCGGAGAAAGATCTCATTTTGTTCTTCACGACTCCGGAGGGATTTCAGAGGAAGTGTTCGAGGTTTTAAAGCCATGGATTGAGCTTGGAAGAGTGACGATACATGATATTAAAGATCAAGAACGATTCGATGGTTATTATCATAATCAGTTCATGATTGTGAATGATTGTTTGCATAGGTATAGATTCATGACGAAGTGGATGTTCTTCTTTGATGTTGATGAGTTTTTACATGTTCCGGTGAAGGAGACGATTTCGTCGGTGATGGAATCTTTGGAGGAATATTCTCAGTTTACTATTGAACAGATGCCTATGAGTAGTCAGCTTTGTTACGACGGTGATGGTCCGGCCAGAACTTACAGGTAAAGTTTTGAGTTTTAAAGTTTTGGTTTTTATTTGGTTTAAGTATTTAGAATCATAGCTCTGGTTTGTGAATTATGTGTTTAAGCATTTTAGAATCTGATTCATTTACATGTAAAAACACTTTTTCCATAATTAGTGTTTCAATGGTGGTCCATGTGGGTGAGAGTTGTTTTCAAAGATTCCAACTTTTTTAGATTTCTATATTTAGGTAAACCAATTGGAGATTGGGTTGGATTTGATTTTGATGGGTTTGTGTTATTGTCAATGTTATATTGAATCAAGATCTGTAGGATTGTGTTTACAGGTTAGTGAGAATTGTGTCAAAGATTCTAGCTTTTAAATTCCAATAAAACTAGCTTGAGTTTGTTGGGTATGTGCTCGTCTCCAAAAAAGTTGCGATAATGTAGGTTTTTACTGCGGTTTTACTATTTAGTTGGATGATAGGTTCTTGATTTGTGATTGTGTGTTTTATTCAGGAAATGGGGATTTGAGAAATTGGCGTATAGAGACGTGAAGAAAGTACCACGACGGGATAGGAAATACGCGGTTCAACCGCGGAATGTATTTGCGACAGGAGTTCACATGTCTCAGAATCTACAAGGGAAGACATACCACAGAGCGGAAGGGAAGATTCGGTATTTTCATTACCACGGTTCAATCTCGCAGCGTCGTGAGCCTTGTCGTCATCTTTATAATGGTACCCGTATCGTTCATGATAACAATCCTTACGTTCTTGATACCACAATGCGCGATATTGGTCTTGCGGTGAAGACGTTTGAGATTAGGACGATTGGAGATCGCTTGCTTAGGACAAGGCAATGAAGATAGGAGAAGAATGGTTAAAGAGATGTTATCATTATGCATTGTAACGTAAATCTTTTAGAGTATTATTTAGGTGAATGTCACAATTTTTATGGTTTTTCTAAGTATATTCTTTTATTGTATTATAAAATGTGTTCATAGAATCGTAGATATCATCATACAGCTCAGATTCTTGGTATATAAGCATCTTTTATATGGGCTTTATAATATTTTATTTATTTATTATATTTGGAAAAAGTGTTTTATATGAATTAGTGAAAGTTGTTGTGGTCTTCGATGGATCTTTGTCGTGTTAATTAACCAAAAGTTTCCACATTTTCTTCCTTATAATCAAGTCATTAAATACACGAATATTTGCAATGACAAATGATCGTATTTGTTTAACTATGGCCATTGTGAAAATTTTGTACTCCTTCAATTTCATAAAGAGTGTCGTTCTAAAGTTTTATTTTTGTTTCACAAAAAGTGTCGTTTTAGGTTTTCAATGCAAAATTTAATGATTTTTTATGTTTTATGACTATTAGTATTCTGCATATTGTTTTACTATTGGGCAGATTATGTTTAGGTATATAGTTAATGATGTTTTTGTTTAGAAAAAAACAAAAAATTTAATGTTTTCTTAATCTGTGTGCAAAACTCTAAAATGACACTCTTTGTGAAACAGAGGGAGTAGTAAACATTGTGGGAAGCATAATTTATTCCTTGGGAGATTTTGATTCTTTGAAAACTACCATAGTGAGTTTTCGTTTGAAAAATACACATTTTTCTATTTTAAGTGAAAACTACAATTTTTAATATAAAGAGATAATTTTGTCTAAATTTAAATGAAAGTTGGATTTTTTGTAAATCAAAACAAAGTTCAATATTTACAAGAAAAACAAAGAATAAACTAATTTCGAAATAATCTTAATTATCCTTTTAACTATTTTTTGAGATATAGATATTTTGTTTATTTTCTATATTAAATTTAACAAGATAATATCTAAAAATATTATAAAGTCTATCACATTGGCTAAAAATATTATAGGTTACAAGACTTAGTTCCAACAATTGTAGAAAAAGTTATCATTTTACATATTAAAAATTGTAGTTTTCATTAAAGTTAGAGAAATGTATATTTTTCAAACAAAAACTCATAAATATGGTAGTTTTCAAAATCTCAATTATTTTTAAGTATGTAAGAAATAGTATTAATGTAGAAAAATAAAAATAAATAATTCTTTAATTTATGAACAAAATCTTAGGGGGTGTTATTCAATGATAGAGTTAAAGTCAATTCTTTAAAGTTTAGATTTACTTTCTGATATTGGTTTTAAGAATCTGTTTGTGTGGATTTCAAAATCTCTGCAGTATATCTTGGATTTTGATTCTAATAATTTACTCGTAAAACTCCAAAGAGGTTTCATTTCAAATGACTTAATATACAAAGATTTTACAAGTCTTTTAGTTTTGAATAACACTGGATCTTACAAACCTTAAAGAATTGACTTTAACTCCACCATTGAATAACACCAAACTTTTAAAATCTAATGAAGTATAAGATCTAATAACACCAGATTTTAACGTTAGATTTATAATCATTAGTTGAATAACACTGGATTAGTGTTGGATTTCAATTCTATTAAAATTCATCATTGAATAACACCACCTTAAACATTATTTAAAATGAAACGTAAAGAGTATTAAATAATATTATCTTTATCTACAAGAATGTTTTATCTAATTTTTTAATTGTACCGTAACTAAACCAGCAGATTAGGATTTCATCTCCAAATACATTTAAGATTTCTGTCATTTGGTAATAGTAATTTCATAAATTATCATCAATAAGTTTATATTTTCCATTTATCAAATTATCTATAAAGTATTTTTTTTTGTTACCTGTTCTTTTTTTTTTTTTTTGATTAAAGGTTTAAAACATAAGTGTAGTAGATAGACCCCACAAAAAGAGTCCTTCCAAGTTTCGTGGTTGTTAATTGTCGCAAACGCTGGAAAGTCCTCATGGGTGCCAAATCCTCAATAATCATACAAATTATTCCCAATCAACAAATCTCCTAATAACGACAACAATTATTCATTTAATCATTTAACAAAAAATAATCCCTAAAGTAATGATGAAAAATAAAAATAGAAACAAGAGATTGATAAAGAAAGAAAAACATAAATAGCGAATGTACACCGACGGTTCAGCATTTAATTCTAATGCAAACAAGTTACGTAAAAACAAATTCTAGCACATTCACGAACCCTACATTAAATATCGATATCGATTCACAAATTTTCTAATTTTGATTTTTGACAAGTGATTGAAATTTGCCCATAATGATTTTTGTAATGGACGGACTTAAATCATTTAATATGTTTATGAATTTTGTCGGAGACAACATTTAATAGAACTAGTCGAAACTACATGATCTCTGCAGCTGTGATATTCTCTGCAAATCTACAGTTTCCATTTAAAACCACGAATAATTTGTATTAAATGGTTTCCTATAATATTCGTCGTCCACCAAATAAAGAAAGCAACCACCCTAACTCAATGAGTTTCTATAAATTGGAATAATATTTTAGACAAAATCTATTTCTTGTAATATAATTAAGGCAAATATATACCTCTCCTAGGAAGATTTGTACATACTCCTTCCGTTTCATATTAAGTGTCGTTTTAGCCTTTGAATTTTGTTTTAAAAATAAGTGTCGTTTTGTGTTTTCAATGCATATGTTTGGTCTGATTTCCAGTTTTGTCCCTACTAATTTAATGTATTGATCAGTAAAAAAATAATAAAATATATAGATAGTGGGTAAAACAGAAAATTTAATTATTTTCTTAATATGTGTGCAAAAACTTTAAACGACACTTGAAACAAATGGAGTATTAAAATATACTTGTCTTTGATTCTGTGTGTATTTAAATCGTCCAACTCTAATTTATAGAGTTCTGAATTTTGGGACCAATTTAAAACGTTGCAAGGTAGGACCAAACTAGGTTGGCCAAACATGTGTCGTTGTAAATTTCGATTGATAATTCATAGGGCCAAATTCTAGCCAGACCCGATTCTAATGAAATTGAAACTTATTTTGAAACTGATCTTTATAAGTCCGGTCCTGGCTAAGATCTAGATTACTTTGCATTTGCGTTTAGGCTACCTAATTGAAAAAGAAAAAAATAGAAAAGAAATTTCATAATTTTGAAATATTGAATCAATATTTATGTTTAGGAACAGCTCCGATTTGTTTTTGACGTCTACTTTTACAAATAACAAAGAAATTTTACTAAAACCAATCGAGAACTAAATCAAACTAGGAAAGTATACCACATCCATTATTGAAAAGTATTAACAATATGGAGTAAAAATGTTAGTTTTCTTAGAGGTGAAAAACGATATTTAATTTCCCAAAGAAAAATATTTAACAAGACTTTGGGATATTATAGCTTATATTTTATATTGTAGTTAAGGCTCCATCATCATTTAAACGGCTTGAGCTTCCAAGAAAGCATTGAAATTCTTGGTGGCTTCTAACAACCGTGGAGAGATTGCCGGAGACGTTGGGTATGAAACCGGCGATGACGTGGAGAATCTAACCTGACGCAGTGAAGAAGACTCCATCGATTTTCTGTTGCTCGAACCAGAAACCTTTAAAACCCCTTTGATCTCTTTCTCAACAGGTTCCTTGTCGAACACGAAAGCCGCTGAAACCGGTTCATCATGGTCGTTATCACCTGAACCGGTTTTGATTAGCTCGGACGGTAAGTCAAAGAAGTGATTTCCTCCTTCTTCTCCGACGGCTTCCGAAGTGTATGAGCCGCAATCGAATTTCTCCATTGAAGCCCGAGCTGAGATCACTGTGGTAGTGGTGGTGGATTCTCTGACGGAGACTGTTCTTGAAACGGTAATGGTCGATGATGATGATCTCGTCATCGTGGTGGTTCGGGTGAAGGAAGAAGAATCATCTTTCCGTGATGATTTGATCGGTTTTTCTTTACTGAAACCGGGGAGGTATAAACACAGAGCGTTGCATCTGAATCCGTCTTCTAATGTATTATTATTGCTGATGCTCTTGTTAGATTCGGTTTTAATGAAGACAGAATTTCTGATTCCGCTGCTCTTAAGAGAGAGTCTCTTACTAGTAGACCCACAAGATTTGCTTCTCTTGTATGACGCCGAAGACGAGTCTTGTTCCTTGTTTCTGAGCGCCCGCATGAGACCTGAACGTTGTTTAGGAGAAGCAGAGGTTGAGTTTGGGAGGCTGTCTTGTTCCTTGTTTCTGAGCGCCCGCATGAGACCTGAACGTTGTTTAGGAGAAGCAGAGGTTGAGTTTGAGAGGCTGTCTTGTTCCTTGTTTCTGAGCGCCCGCATGAGACCTGAACGTTGTTTAGGAGAAGCAGAGGTTGAGTTTGAGAGGCTGTCTTGTTCCTTGTTTCTGAGCGCCCGCATGAGACCTGAACGTTGTTTAGGAGAAGCAGAGGTTGAGTTTGAGAGGCTGTCTTGTTCCTTGTTTCTGAGCGCCCGCATGAGACCTGAACGTTGTTTAGGAGAAGCAGAGGTTGAGTTTGAGAGGCTGTCTTGTTCCTTGTTTCTGAGCGCCCGCATGAGACCTGAACGTTTTCTAGGAGATGCAGAGGTTGAGTTTGGGAGGCTGTCTTGTTCCTTGTTTCTGAGCGCCCGCATGAGACCTGAACGTTTTCTAGGAGATGCAAAGGTTGAGTTTGGGTGGCTACGGCTCACAAACTTAGTCTGCACTGGCTGCAAAGGAATAGCCATAGGCGCATCTAAGTCTCTAGGAGGTGACATCGCCGGTAAACGAATCATATCGAAGCTATCATTCCTTCTCAACGAACCTGAAAAAGACAATGACCTGATTGATTTTGGATCCATCGATATCTCTCTTTCGGATTGCAACATACTCGTTTGCTTGACCAGAATCTTCTTCTTCGAATCGTTTCTGCTTATAACTTGCCAATTTTCACGAGAACTTTCGTCTCTGAAACTGACCATTGGCATAAGAACTGCAGCCACCATTGTATTTTTCGACCTGAAATGTCGATAAGTAAGAAGAAAAATTGACAAATGGCTAAGTCTTAATGCTAAAGAGATGATGAATACTTATACAGAGTCACAGAGAGTAAGCATGGACCGCACGTTTGGTAGCTTATGGTAGCTACACTGAGTCATGATTTGCACGTCCAGCTTTTTTTTCGTTTCCTGCGTATTAGTCTCAGCCAAAGGTTATTGACTTTGTTACTATAAACATAAACAATAATATAAGCTTTAGAATATTTAACATCGTTGACATGAGACTATGCCCAAGATTGAGACAAGATCTGATCATGATAGATATGCTCGCACGAACCACACTTATTATAATATTACCAAACGTTTTGGAATAATTTACCTGGAATTTGTGCAGACCACAAGCCGTTGTATAAGGAAGAAGATGATTCAATAATTGAAATTTTCATTTCATGTTCTTAAGTTACAAAACATCAATGATGGGTCATTGGTGGTGCTGTGTATAACAACTAAATGGATTTGACTCTACTGTAGGGAATTGTAAAACAAAATCAATACAACAGAGATACCGATGATAACTGGTAAAGCCGAGACAAAGTACAACGCTCCATAACCCTGCAAACAGATTAAGAAACAGAGGCGTGAGTAATATCAATCAGAAAAGTCAAATAGGAACGCTGAAAATGTTATGAAAGAGTAATGATTTCCAGGTAAAAGCAGGAGTTTGTGAAAGCGCTGAGAGAGGTTGGGGAACAAACCGCGACTTTGGTTACTACTCCTTGTTCATCATCGACATCGGCTTCTTCAATTGCAGCAGCTGAATCCCATTCTATGTTGAGTCTCTTGGCTGCTTCTTTTGGATCTATTCCAGTGTCTGTGGATTTAGCGTACATTGATTTTCCTCGTTGCTTATTTGAAACCTCAACCTTATGAGATAAATAAGATAAGGGGTTAAGATAAGGCTTTAAAACAGAGTTCTGCTTAGCTAACTAACTAAATGTATATAGCCGTCACCAGAGTTACACAAAAGAAAAGAGATCTCTTCCATTATATTTTCTAGCATCAATAGGAACCATTATGGATTTAAATTGCCTAAGGAGAGATTTCATTATGGATTTATATTGCCTAACGCAAAATGGTAGCATTTTCTCTCTATCAGTCCCACCAATAGACAGCAAAAAACAATTGTGATCAAAGAGAAGGTACCTCTAAATTTGGCCAACGGATCATTTCCTCATGCAGCATCCGAAGAGTTGCACGATCTTTAGGGATTTTCCCATCATTTACCTGCGTAAAGAAATCAATTCATTTTTAAGGATCTTCATTGTAATGCGACTTAATCACCCCAGCAAACTGCTCAACTTGGTTTTGTGAAGTGACATCTTGACATCACCATGGGTAATAGGATTTCTATCACAAGCACATATATGCCTTGAAAGTTGAAACAGTTTTGTATACTAAGATCAGGTGTTAGACAGGCCAGCACAATGTTATGTTAAAACCAGAAATGTAACACATCAAGCATGAATGAAATTCAAGAAAGGTAGATTTTAGCTGAGTGAAATTAGTTATTCATCAACATTTGTGTACAACAACAACAACAACAAAAACTACGCTCCACACAGTCACTGACCAAACCGACTGACTCACAATAGCATTCTATGAGGCTATGAACACTAGAACTGAGCCATAAATGTGTTCTTTTTTGCTCTCTACCGAAAACTGATGTCTTACAATTTACTTAAGTTTACTACTCAATGCATTATATTAAGGTACAAGTTTGAGGAAGGATTCTATTTCACTTGTGATAATATCAGTATTGCATCTTGAGAAAAATTCTAAGACAGAAAATGTCACCTGCTCCAAGGCTTCAGCCAAATCTTCTCTACTTGGAGTATCTGCATCTTCTATCCCAAGCAGCCTCCTTCTTTCCACTTCCCTTGGATCCTCAATCATTATTGTCAACTTAACCTATGATTATCAACACACACAAAACTCTGACTTAATCAAATCAATACTAAAAACCAACACAGAACCATGAAAATGCAGCTTACCTCACTGAAGATCATATCTCTATTCCTCCTAAGAAGCTCCAATACCTAATTACACACAAAATTCTTCAGGATAATCTGATTCAACTATCTTCAATTTCACTCAGCTAAAATCTGGAAACGGAATCACAAACCCGTTTGATTTCATTGACGTATTTGAGATCTTCAGGATCTACTTCTCCTTCTTCGTCTTCTTCATCATCTCGATTTTGTTTCTCCTTCTCTTGTTGCTCCAATGTTAACGGAACCGGAACTCGAATCTCCGTCACGTCTCCTTTCTCCTGCTTAACTATCACACTACCGAATCTCTGATTCTTCCTCCTCCGCTTAACCCAAAGATCATCGGAAATTCCATTACTCTTACAAATAACAAACGGAGTCGGCGACGAAGAAACACCGTAATTCCGTTGGCCGGCGGAAGAAAAACTCGAAACACAGTACTGTAACGGCAACTGAAATATCTGCGTCACCATTTCTTCAAAAAAAAAGTGAAATTCCTCTGTATAAATTCACAGATTCTGCATCTCTGAGGATATAGTTTCGATTGAAATTCCCGGAGGAAGAAGACGATTCAAATTATCCAATGTTAAAACTCAATTTGTCAAGTTTAATCTTAAAAAAGGGGAAATTGAAAATTTTGAATTTTTCTAGATTGGAGAATAATACGAGTGGCTGATACATGTAGATAGCCTCGAAACAACTGCTAATTGGATAATACTGGAAAATTACTATTTTATTTTGTTTTGGGAAAAATGTAGTTAAAATAAATATCAAATTTATATTGACTTTCTAAAAAAATACTTTCTCCGTTTCGTTTTAGTTGTCGTTTAAGGTTTTTTCACACAAATTAAAAAAAAACATTAAATTTTCTGTTTTACCTTTTATTAATATATCTTATAAATTTTTTCATTGGCCAAAACATTAAAACAATAGGGATAATATTGGAATTTTTACCAAACATTTGTATTGAAAACTTAAAACGACAACTATTACGAAACAAAATTTAAGTCCTAAAATGACAACTAAAACGAAACGGAGGGAGTATCAAACTTATGTTGACTATCCAAATAAATATCAAAATTTCGTTGACCTGGCTATATTAGGTACGACGTTAAGTGGATTAATAGATCTCGTTAACGGAGTTAATTTTCTGTCAACATACATATTAATTGATAACGACATTGTTTCATATAACAATAAAACGACGTCGTTTTGTCGTAACGATTGAATTAAATCCCTAAAGTCAATCTTAGATCTCTAAATCGAGCAAAATCTCTAACCCTAAATCTTCATATGATTTGAAACTCGGCATTTTATTGAATAGTTACGACAAAACAACGTCGTTTTATGTTTAGAAGGAATACTGTCATTTTCAATTAGCGGGTTCTGTTAACCCATTTAACATCATGCCTAATATGCTAAGTTAATGAAAGTTTGGTGTTTATTTGGAAAGTCAACATAAGTTTAATATTTATTTGGAAAGTCAACATAAATTTGATATTTATTTCGTTTCGTAGTGAGTTAAGGATTTAAATCAACGTTTTGAATAAATTGGAGATTTTAATGACATTTTTCCCATTTTGTTTTCAGAATTTAGTGTTTATTTATTATTATTGTTATTATATTCTAAAAGTTTATGATAGTATTATTGCTATGTCAATACATACATGCGTATAAAACTCATATTGTGATGCATGCTATTAACAAAAATGTGTTTGATGAAAAAGAAAAAGAAAACAAAAACAAAAATGTGTTTACTTTCTAATAAAAGAAATGAACTGATTAAAAGAAAATACTTTTTAGGAAAAATGGCGAGTGGTGGCGAACTAGGGTTTTCAGGATCTGGTGGGCAGGATGCGAATTGCGATGATGGGTGAAGAAGGTAATGGGCTGTAACAGGATAGTCCTATATCCTGGTTATGTTAAACCTCAATTCTCAAATATCTTATTTCTGGTTTAGTTACTCTATTCCAGTAAACCAAGTCTAAGTGTGTTTAGATCGAGTATATATGTAGGCCTTTGGCCATCTTTGAGAAACTTAATCAAAAACACAAATTATCTTCTTCAATCTCCTTTATTTCTTTCGATCATCATCATCTTCCATAACACCAAATCTTAGATCTTCGAGGTGATCCTTCACCTTCTGGGCTTTGATTTACCCTTATCTCGTGCTCTCGGTGAGTGCTGATTCAGGATTTATCATAACGTTACATGGGCAGTCTAGGGGGAGGGTTGATCATTACATTCGGCTTTCCCGGATGGTGAGGATGGGGAACCAGAGATCACAATCGAGAGAGAAGTATTGGAAGCCATGAACGGTTTATGGAAGCAGTGCATAATCGTGAAGGTGCTAGGGCAGAACGTTTCAATCACAGTCCTTAACCGTCAGCTCCGGGAGTTGTGGAACACCCGAATGGTAGGGTATGATGTCGGTTATGGACCTTCCTCGCCAGTTCTTCATGGTTAGGTTCGAGTTGGAAGAGGAGTACTTTGTAACATCCCAAAATCCAATATTAGACAAAGCCCAATAAAACCAATATCTATATCACTTAAACGACAAAGGTCATGGTCGTTTGTGTGTATAGAGTATATATAAACATGTATGTATCTTCTTAACTACGAGCCGTCACAAGAGAAACCTAAACCTAAACCCTAAGAGCAGCAGCTGTAACATAGTAAAAGCTTTGTGGCTCGTTGGTGTCGAGTTCGTGAGCCATCGTTGTTGAGTTTGTGAGATGACGTTTAGTTTGACGTTATGGTGATCGATCATCTTTAAAGGAGAAGATGTGTTAGGCAGAGCCACAAGAGAGGAGAAGCAACCTGATCGTCCTAGAGCCACCTTAGTTGTGTTGTGGCTGTGTGTGTGTCATTGGAAAAGGGAGAGAAAGGGAGGAGAAGAGAGAGAGCCGTGAGGTGAGGATAGAGAACGAGACGAAGCGGAGATGGTGGAAATCATTGGCAAGTCTGAATAGTCATGTCGTGGCTGTGGCAAGCCTCGACGGTGGTGGAGGAGCAAAGCCGGAGTGAACAGAAGTGGGGGAGAAAAGAGTAAGAAAGAGAAAGAAGGAAATAAAAGTAGTGTGGAGGAGAGAACTTTGGAGGCTCGTCGGCGCAGAATTTGACGTCGATTTGGCAAAGTACAAGAATGAATGCGATTTTTAGAAACCCAAGATCACATAGCAATTGACGGATCTTCAATAAGAGTTAAATCAAAGAAGTTATTCACGTTGCTTCCTACGCAAGAAACAGCTGAAACTGGTTAAACTAGAAACCCTAGAAAAAAAGATCCAAGGTGGCTTGTTTAGGACATCGTTTGGAGGCCTAAAACTAATCCGATCGAGCTGAAAATTGGTGGAGTTATTCGTGGCAATACAGGCTATGGATTCAACAGTGGGATGCCGTTTGCAACAGTTAGTTTCTTATTTATTCATGCGTTTCTGAGATGGTTTGGTATAGAACAAATTATGATAAGATTTATTGTTTGGTTGCTAAATGAGCTTGGATGAGCTGAAGCTCTGCATGAGTATTTATGAGGCATGTATTCATGACTTGGTTGATGGAGAACTAAGCTTGAAACCCACGTTCGAACCGTAGCGTCTCAAACAAGTTAAGGTTAAGGTGAGGGTGGTAATCGTGAAAACACAATGGTTATTTTGTAAGCATGTTCTTCATGAATTGCTTGTATAGGCTTAGGAACTATGTGTTTGTTTGATGTTCATTGATTGATATTTTGTGACACGGTAGGACGATTTGATGTATGATATGTAGACTTTATATTTAACATGATGATGTGTGATGATATGAAATGAGTTGATGAAAAAAGATCCGCTGTAGCATTTTGACGACACCGGACAGACCATCTGAATTCGATGGAAGAAGCTCTGTTATCGCAGTGGCAAAAGAGAACTGAGAAGGCGGACACAGTGGTATGGAGAGGCAAGAACGACATTTTCAAACCAAGTTTCTCGACAAAAGACACTTGGAATCACATTAGAACGACTTCAAACAATGTCTCGTGGAACAAGGGAGTGTGGTTTCCACATAACACTCCCAAGTACTCTTTTTGTATGTGGTTGGCTGCCCATGACCGTCTTTCTACAGGAGATCGTATGATCAGATGGAAAGGTGGAGCTGTTGGTGTTGGATCTCGCAAGTCGGATCCGGCCCATAGAAAAGTGGTAGAACAATGAAACGAAGTGGGCCGTGCCCGGTTCAAGAGACGAAAAGAACGGCCCAGTAAAAGTCGGCCTAGCTCGAGTGAAACGTCGGGATTTCGTGAATTAAATGAAAGGCGGGTCATACGGAATTTGCGAGATTCGGAAGATTTGAAATGGAAACATTAATGAGGGCGAGATCTGCGGCTTGATGAACGACTTCGGTTTCGAATCGCGTAACTATAAATAGAGAACGAAAACCATTGTTGTGGATGTCGGATTCACACACTCAAGTATTTTGTTAAGTGGGAAAGATTATTCTTGAGGGACAAAAATGAATGCGTAAGAGCTTGTAAATTGATACGAAAATTGCTATAGTATTTCTCTCTTGAGAGGAAGATCCCCTTTACATGGCCATTGGCCTCCATATTTATACATAGCTAAACGACATTTAAAATGAGTAATTAAGTACAATTATTTCTTCTTAAATGTGTCCGTTTTGATTCTTCGGCTTTAATGCTCAACGTTTGAATTTGAGTTGACTCTGATCTTCATGGGCCTCGCCTCTTTTGGCCCAAGTGTCCTTGAACCGACTTACCCGTGTCTTCTACACCGAACTCGTGTCACAGTGCAGTCACTTCGGATTCTCGAAATGGTGACAACCACTTCGACCATCCCTTCGGCTCACGGATCCAATGGGCTTCATCCTTTACGGGCCATTATCCTGATTACGTGGCAATCTTTGGTTGGTCTCGTACTTCTGGTGCGGGATCCGACACCAACAATTAGCCCCCCAAGTTCTACGAAGTGCTATTCCAATTCGGAGGACTTTAAATGCTCAAGTGGCCAAAGATTGCGCTCGAGAATCTTTCTGATTTCCCGCCGAAAATCTCATCACTCCTTTAATTTCGGCACTAGCCATTTTTAACCGAGTGACATCTGTCATCATTATGACCGTATATTGATTAATTACTATTAAAACAGGAAAAACCTTCCCACTTCCCACACGACTTCCGAGGCGGTTTCATCATTAGCTTGAGGTAACTTCTTTTCACCATTACTCTCTTCTTTTACTTTTGTACTTTAATCAAAACCTCTCTCTTTGTTCCTTCACCAAAACCCTTCTTCGCCGGATCTTGAATTTTTCTTTCTTACCAATGACTTCTGATTCCGATAGACCCGAGTCTCCGTCTTTTGACGAGAGGCGTTCTAGTAACGACGAGTGCACCCGCCCTGGTGACATTGCCGGTCCGCATTATAGGTCCACTTGTACTCTTCAATCCCTCGAGCGATTGAGAGAGCTTTGCCGGATTCCGCCGGAAATTATGGCGGAAGCTCAAATAGCTTCCCCCACAGAATCTCCAGAGAACCATCGCGATGGTTACTTCTGTGTGTATGAGATTTATTTCAAGGGTTGCGGGCTGACCTTTCCTCTTCCCGAAGCCCTAATTTTATACCTAGCGGCTCTTGAAATCGCTCTTCCTCAATTAACCCCCAATCTTCTCCGTACTATTCTTGGAATTATAACAATCGCGGCGGAGGCCGGTTATGTTATCGGAGTTGCTGAACTAAAT